GTCTGTGAACTGGTTGTTCTGTTATATGAAATTCTACACGTGCATGCGCACACAATGATTAGTGTAATTACCACTGGCTCCATCATTTTGTAATTCTGCATCATTTCATTTGTAGATCTGAGGTATTATTCTGTGACAGGTAAGGACTCCATTAGCCGCAATGACAAATGTTAGTTTTTAAAACCTACTAGGAATTGTATGCTTTTAGTTTTCTTGAGTTGTTTGATACGCTTATAGTGATCGAGTTCAATTTCTCCCTAATGTTTTATTTCAAAGAACAGCTTGCCTAGTCAAACCAGGTCAGTGTGACCACATCTGGAGACTACATGACACTTGCTTCTTAGTTTGGTTTTTGTGTTATGGTAGATCTCCCTTTGCAGAGAAGTGTTTGTTTTTTGTGTATATGTGAGTCCTATGATCTTACATTTCTTGTAATAATATTTTAGTTCTTAAAATATATGGGTTAACAAAAGAAATAAATTATGTTGAATTAAAGTGATAAATATATTAGGTTTATTCTTTTTTAATGAGTTAAACTGAAACATTCTGATGTGTACTCCTTTAATCCCAGCATTCGGGAGGCAGAAGCAGGGGGATCTCTATGAGTTTGAGGCCTGTTTGCTCTACAAACTGAGTTCCAGGACAGCCAGAGCTGTTACACAGAGAAACTCTGTCTTCATAAACCAAAACCAGACCAAAAGAAAACAAAACCATTTTGTCCTCTGATATAATCAAAAAGACTATTTTCTAAGTGATATTTTGAGATGCCCATAATAGTAGGGATATAAAAATATTTGTATTCTCAATATCAGAGATTGTATATTCTGCTAATACTGCTGTGTGCGGTTCATTTTTTACATTCATAATTTAGTATGAGTGGCACTAAAAATTAAGAAAGTCTATAAGTAAACTCTTGAGTTAAGAGGCCAATTTCCTAGCACTTTTATATTGCCAGCCAAGTGCTTTTAAAAAGTCAAGGTGGTGGTGTGCTATCCCAGGTTTCCCAGGGAGAGAGGAAGTTCCAGAAATAGGAACATTATGAAAAGGGTTCTGCTCATTTACTCTAAAACTTAAACAATTTCCACTGAAAGTGTTTGTATAGATTATTTTCTTAAAGGAATTTGAACAGTAATAACCTAAGATGCAGTTTTTAAAAAAATATTTGTGTTATTTAAACATACTGTTTAAAAGACCACTTAAGTGCTTTCTCTGGCCATGAGTACCCAATGAGGTAATTGGCAGGTGAAGGTGACTATTTCTGTTTATGGAATTATAGACTGAAGCTTTTTGGCTTTTCTGAAGATGAGCAACAACAATTCTATACCTTTAAGGTTGTCTATTGCTGTTTCAGTAAACCTAATCATTTATAGGTGTGTTACTATCTTAGCGCATTTGAACTGTAGCAAATAGTTTTTGTGGAATTCTTTGTTATATTTATATTTTCTAAAGCTCAGCTGGAACTTCACCATATGAAGGTGTGTTGTAGAGACTTGTTAACCCTACTTTCATAGCCTTGAACTGCACAGTTGACACCAATTACTCAATTGCCCTAGGTGATTTGCACCCACAAGGAAACTTTGGACTTTGCTAAAAGGGGGAATTGTTTGATGACTTTCAGTTTTAAAAACTGCAGTATTAGATAATCACTCAGTAGTGCACACAGGAGTGCATTGCTTGTGGGTGTTAGTGTCAGGGACTAAAAGGAAATATCAAGTACAGAAGGTAGGATATATATATATATATACATATACATATATATATGTTGTATAAAGTGGAATTCAATAAATATTGGCTAATGAATACATCTCTACTAATGTATGAGTAAACTAACTGCTCTGAGATTGTTACTAGGAAGATGTCAGCATGAAAACATGCTTATTGTAGTATGAGAAAATGTGTAAATAGATTATACAGTAGCAGGTGACGGTGGAATGAGAAATGTGTATACTAGCTTTCATATTGGATAAGAGTAAACTCTTGGTATGTGATTTTACAGTTATTCACCAAGATTAGGTAGATGAGTGTTTGATGCTCTTAGCCTTTTAATTACTACGACTTTTCAATTTTTTTATAATCAGATAGGCTTACTTTTCTGTATATGCAATGCTGCCATTTAAGGGCTACAGACACAGTGCTACATAATTTGAAGGAGGATTGAGTCACCATTTACTTGTTCTGTGGAAGAAAGATTACCTTGTACCTCAGAATATAAATATGTCCTATCCAGTCAGAAGGGGGGGGGGTGGAATTGCAGACAGATGGAATTAATTAGGAAAATACCAATAGGATGTTTTGTGTATTTTTTGTTTGGTTTGGTTTGTTTTTTTGAGACAGGATTTCTTTGTGTAACAGTCCTGGCTGCCCTGGAACTCACTCTGTAGACCAGGTTGGCTTTGAACTCAAAGAAATCCATCTGTCTCTGCCTCCCAAGTGCTGGAATTAAAGGCATTTACCACTACCACCTGGCTAATAGAACATTTTAAAGTACATAATTTTGATTTCAAAAGAGCAGCTTTGTGTTGGTGTAAAATTGTTAAAGAGGAGCCAGGAGTGTGATTCATACACACAATCTCTGACTTTCGGGGAGGTTGAGAAAGATGGATGGCATGTTTGAGGCCAGCTGGGCTGATCAGGGTCAGGTGCTGGGGATGTTGGATTGCTGGAAGGATTTGTCTGAATCTTGTTCTTTAAGGCAATTGTGCTTCTAATTGGGAAATAATCCCATGAGTATATAGCAGTAAGGCATATGTGAAGTCTACAGAATAAATATGCCATCTTCTAGGAGCATCACTTCTTTTTGGAGAAAATAACTTTTTATATGAAGATAGATTTAGGGAGTATGAGACATGATCCATATGTAATAAGATCCTATATTGTAAAGTAAGGTTCTAGTGAAATTTGAAGAGTATTTTATTCTGTGGCATGTTATTATCATGTTACTCTAAAATCTGTTACAGGGATGTATTTTAATTATTCCTAGCTGTTGTATTCTATAGTAGACAACCTTAAAGAAAACAGGCACTATGTTGTTATTATAAACTTGTTATAGTATGATTGAATGGGAAATAAAATTAGTGAACTAGGAGTAGTACATCAGGCTAAAGGCAATCCTTGAGAAGAAAGCTTATCAGATTTCAAAAGAAGGTTACAGGACTGTGTTTACAAGTTTAAGTAGCCAGACCATCTTAAGGCTCCAGACTAATAGCCTGGTAGTAATGCTATAAAAAATGGAATAGTAATGACTATAAAAGTTACAGAGATGACATTTAGAGAGGGAGGGAGATGAGTTGAATTGTTAAGGAGTGGGCTGCTACTTGATGTGTCAGAGGGAGAAGTGGCTGGTAAGCAATGTGAGAAGGGGATCTGAACAAAGATTATGGGTTGAATATATAGTTGGGAAATTCATCCATGGAAAATACAGTCCATGAGGGTAGACATCGTGTTTGAGGGTCACATTTATAAAGGCTGTACTGGGGATAGGGATGGCTCAGTCAGTAAATTGCCTATTCTGTGAGCTTGGGCACCTGAATTTCAGCTCCCATCACCTACATAACACCCAGGAATGGCAGGTTCAGTGACAGACCTTTGTCTCAGCAAGAAAGGGGGAAAGTGGTTGGGGAGGACAGTGACACAGACATCTATCTGGCTTTTAATGTGCACTCACACACACATACCTATACTCCTTCCTGAACACAAGCATATTTTCCCTCCTACACACAGTCCTCCCTCCCCCAAAGGAAAGGTTTTATTGCTCCATGATGGTAAGAAGATAAGAGGAAGGACTAGATGTATGAAGATGGATCCAAGGGAGGGATAAGCTATGGCGAGCCTAGTGATATTGGAGTGTGATTAGTAATAAGTACCAGAGAGAACAAAGGGAAAGTGGACTGGAATGTTCCACTAGGTTAGGCAACTGTGGGTCAGTGCTAAAATCTTCAGGCAATGCAGTGAGGACAGGGCAATGCTCTGTGATATGTAAAGAAAGAAGTCTTTCTCTACCAGAATAATCTCTTAATCTGAGAATTCTGGGAGGGGGGGAAGGGAAGGGTCAATTTGTTACTTCTAAAAGGAACAAAGTGAAAAACACCACAGGAGGATTTAAGAAAACAAAAAAGGCAGCTAGAAAAAGCCGCTATGTTGTATAATGAATCAGTTTTTTACCTTGGAGGATTTTTTGGGGGCAGGGGAGGGTCAAGGAGCCATTTTAGCATTCAGTTGTAAAACTCAAATTTTCAACAAGTTGAAAACTGTAGCTCTTTCTTTTGTATTTTTCTTTAGAAAAATATTAATGTAGGATCCACATAGACCATATGTGTCTCGTCTATGTGCTTTTAAAGGTTTGTATGATATAGTATAACTTAAAATATGATGCTGGATGTTGATTGAGGTAAATCACAGTGTAATTTGGATACTACCTATCTTTAAAATCTTTGTTTAACTAAGAATATTCTTTGTTGACATTTTTTTAAAGATATGTTTGTTTTTGGAGCTAGAGAGATGGCTCAGTAGTTAAGAGCACTGACTGGTCTTCCAGAGGACCTGAGTTTAATTCACAGCACCCACATGTCATCTCACAACTGTCTGTAACTCCAATTCCAAGGAATCAGACACCCTCCATAGACATACATTCAGGCAGAATACCAATGCACATAAAATATAAATAAATAAATAGATATATATATTTTTAATTTATGTGTATATGCATATGACTTGAGTCTGTGTGCCCGTGGAGGAGAGAGGCGGCATTGGATCCACCTAAGCCAGAGGTTCAGGTGGTCCTGACCCCTCCCCCCCCAGTGTAGGTACTGGGAAGAGCAACACATGATCTTATAACCATGGGGTAACAAGTTCTAACAGGTGATATTATGATACAAATACTTGCATTCAAGGATCCTTGGGGAGTTAAAGTTTGAATCACTTTTTAGAGACAATCATGTTCTTATTGTAATGCCATGTCTATGATGTTTTAAACATACATACAAAATATTTGATAATCTATAATGATTTTTAATTCTTAAAAAATACACAAAATGTTAGATCTGCATCCTGTCCAGAAATAATAAATTCTTATTAAACTTCCATTTAATGCTACAAAGGCATTCATTCTTATTTTATTTTGACAAATAACACTTAAAATTACTATCATAGTATTAATTGTTGAAGTGTACAAAATGTTCACAGGGTAGATGGGTTAAATAAATGCTAAATTACTATATTCTTGACATTGAAAAGTCAGTATGATGCAACAATCCAGATTTACTGCATTAGTAGACATTGGCCTGGTACAAACCCACTATTGCACTCAGCTTTATGTGATGTCCTTAAAAATTATTTAATCCAGATCATGTTGTAGCAAAATGAAGCATAATTTTAAAAGTTCCTATTACAGATGTATATACTCAATTGACTGAATTTAATTCTGAAACTAGTAAGATAACATTGAGGATTTACAAACACCACTTTTTGAAGTTTAACATGAAAAATGTACTTTTTTGAAGTTGACATTTTAAGGTTTTTAATATAAGGATGTTTTAGAATTTGCCCATTAGTTGTGATTTAGATTGGAACCATGTTTTTGTTTGTTTGTTTTTTAAGACAAGGTTTCTTTGTTTAGCACTGGCTGTACTGGAACACACACTGTAGACCATGCTGGACTCAGAGTCAGAGATCTGCCTGCTTCTGCCTCCCAGGTGTTGGATTAAAGGCAGGTACTACCACACCCAGCTTATTTGGACCATCTTAAATTGATTTCCACATCAGGAACATGAACAAATGATATTGTACAAGGGTTGATTGGGAAAGACAAGTAGTGTTAAGTTGATGTGATGATGACTAATCTTAACAGTGACTTTAAAGCTAATTGAAAATTTATTTCTCAAGCTTTCCATTCAAGATTTAATACCAGATTATAATGGTACAGTAATCTAGGAGGGTTTTAATGTTTAATTTATTGGCCTTTTAATTTGTCTCAATTTATTCAAAGCTTTCTAAGTTGGTGGGCTGAATCATCATTTTGGATGATCTGATAGAGTATAATTTTCCATTCAGAGGCCTCCAGTAGATCCCTCTTCTCCTGTCTGACTTGGATTTGGCTTTGGGTTTGTTGTATTTACCATTTAGGTTGTTTTCTCCACACACGTCATGCCACCACCAGCCTCCTAAAGAAGAGAGATGTGTGATTTAATTGGATAATGCCTCCTGTCTAGTAGCTGTTAGATGTTTTTCATGATTATATCTTTAATTCATATAAATGATGTGGGTGCTTGTATTCCAATATTAATTAATCTGTGTATCTCACATACACCATCAAAGTAGAGTGTTTGAGGAGCATCACTGGTAAAATAGTCAGCTGAATCAGAGTTAGCACTTGAAACTACAACAACAGATTTTTGTCTTTGGAGACAATGCTTAGTTGAGATTATTATTATTATAGATGATAGTTAAAACGGTAGGGGGATACTTTGAAGAAAAGTATTAATGAAATACCTGAGTAACTTTCTGGACAGTAGACCTGTCCCTTTGCTCTGTGATCCCATGTAGAAAACATCAGATCTCTGTGTTCTGGGAGTGCCTCAGGGACATTGCCAGCAGTCTCAGCCAGATGTAGCGTATAGTTGGTTTCATGATTTCCGAGGCGAAGGGAATATTCAACATAGTGCTTGCTGTCTTTCCAGTCTTGTAGCTCAAGTCGTAACATGTAGTTAGACTGCTTTACTATGGCATAGATCTTCTCTAGGCCCAGCCAAAATTCTCCTAAAGAGAAAAGTGGGGAGTGGGAAGAACCACTATGCATTGTTAACTACAGATCAGGTCTGTTGGTTTTTGTGTGTGTGTGTGCCAGGCTCTCTCTGTTTAGCCCAGGCTGTGATTTCAAGTATGTATAATCATGTTTCCTGGCCAGTTTTAAAAATTATTTTCACTTCATTGAAGAAAATAAGTTGTTTTAGTGCTGACCCCTTGGTTACTTTGGTCTTGTAAAGCATTAAACTGTTGGTGTTGTGGTGTGTGCGTATAATGTGGACACTTGGGAGCTTGGACAGAAAGAATTGTTCAGTCCTCAGCAACACAGAGCTGTTTCAGGCCATCCTGGGCTACACAAGACCCTATCTCAAAAACCCAAAACAAATCCTTTCTAAAACTTTATTAATGAGCACTTTTGTGAAACGCATGTCTATATCTAAGTATATGCACTGTCCCTCCCTTTCTCTTCCCCTCTGTTTATGGAATTTTTTTAATTTAATTTAATTTCATTTTAACTTTGAGTTCTTGGCACTGAATCTGACTTCATGCACATTGGAGAAGACTGTTCCACTGAACTATACACCCAGTTCAACTGTCCATTTTTAATGTGTGACTTTTTCTCCCTTGTTGATTAAGTCTGGGTTTAGTCTATATTAAAATCTTGTTTTGATAAGCCCCCAACCTTGCTTCAAAAATGTTTTTACCAAATGTTTTATATATGACATATTATTATACATATTTTTAGGTTTGGTTATTGATAGAGTAATATCTACTTGTACCTCCTTATATGTATCAGATTCATTAATATGCCTACATTCTGTCACAAGAATACTTTCTTATATTCAGTTTTGGATAATAGTGATAACATTTTTCTCAAATGTGAAGTGTTTTTTTTTTTTAAAAACGAATCTCATAAATTAAAAAAACATTACATTTGAATGTTTTGTTATTAGCATTTTTTCTCTGTAATTAAAACTATTTTCATTTGGAGTTAAAAACAGTAATATAAGTAGATCGTTATACAAACTATATTTAATGACAAAAATAAATATTTTGTTATTGCTGTTGAGTTAGGAAACCACGTAAGGATTATAATAAATGGAATTATTTTCTGATTAGAAATAAATAAGTATTTTGAACTGCCAATCTTTTATTTTAGTGTTAACCTCAGTCTCAGAAGAGGTTAGAAGCACATAATATCACTGTTTCTGGGAATCCGTCCCAATGTCACGCTGGTCAAGTGCTCTGCCCCAAGTATACCTCCAGCTCCATTTTAACCTTGTGTTAAATATCAACGAAAGAGTACTGTAACACTATCTTTGTAGCTCAGTCATAGTCTTACCACTCTCTAAAGCCCACAGGACCTAACTTACTATTTTTCTTTAATAACTGTTATGATAATTATGAACTATTGAATTAAATTTTAACAAATCTACTTAAGAGCAGACATGTAAATGAGATTAAGTACAATTAAAATAATTGCAATTGCTAAATGTATAATATTAATCAATAGGTTTTGTTTATTGTTACATTTCCACTGCCTATTTTATAATGGTTTCTTAATTTATAATTCTTTTTTTTATTCCCTTGGATAATCTGGGTCTCAGTATTTGGCCCAGATTGGCCTTGAACTTTCAATCCTCCTGCCTCATTCTAACCCCCCCCCACTTCCTCAGTATTAAAATCTCAGGCCTGTATCAGCCATCCAGTTAATACTGTTAAATTAACAAATAAGTAATGCAAGGAAATCACTTTACCAGCAAATCTTCCAAAACCATTTTTGTAGTTCTCCCACGTTTCATTGAAGTTTTGTGACCCATCTTTTCGGTGTTGAATTAATGTCCATGGACTACCTGGAGGGTGTGAATGAATGTAGTTAATTTTAGTAGATTAATGTTGATAGGAAAAATGATTATGTTTTGAGATTGGTTTTTATGAAGTGATTTGTTAAGTTGATACTGCTGGTCAAGGTAATGCACTTTATTATTTATTTTAGCTCAAAATTTGCATGAATAATCACATTCTGTGGATTTATCACAGGCTTAGTCTTGAGTAGGCACTGAGTTTCTTGAATTTACTCCAGTCCGTTCTCTGCTTAGGCAGACTTTACCTGATTGGGTGTCGCAGTACACATAAAACACTTGAGAGTTGCTTGGTCTAATGGCATACACACCGCTTGTATGCTCACCTCGGTTATAAATGGCAGAGCAATCAGCAGGAAGGTCTAGGATTAACAAACATAATAATGTAACATTTAAGAATAGAAATATTTTAGGAGCTTGAAATTTCAGTGCTACTTCATGGAATTGCTGTGAATGTTTATGTTAAGGCATATTAGATGGCCAACTATCCAAATAACATTAAAATAACATTTCCAACTTATTTAAAAGCATGAGAATTTTAAAAAGCATTATTGTTTTTGTTAGGCACAGTAAGAATATTAAGTAGAGGAAGTTTAGTTCAGGGTTTGGTTCATAACTAGAATCAACAGATATGTAGTAGTACAGAAGGAGAGCTGACAGGTACTTCTCATATGTGAATTACATAAACAAAAATAATTGTTGGGAACATACCATTTTGTTATAGTCTGACTGGAAGTAGTGATTTTGTTACCTGAAACTTTGGTAATATCTGTGAAAGTCTTTAAGCTGACAAGAAAGTAGAATTTTTCATTATCTTTCATTATCTTTCAGTTTTTAGAAATATTATTTTTTTATCTATACACATGAATGTATTTTGTTTGTTGCTTTTGAAAGTAATTTTCAGATAATGACCTTTGGACCCTTGCATAGTTTTCCAAGTGTCTTTATAAACATGCACTTATTCCTTTTCTCCACTGCAGTATCATTTTCTATCTATGAAACTAATAATCATTACATGTTTTTATACCAGCTTCATATCTTAATGCTGTGCATAGTATTAAATGTTAAAAAAAAAACAGGATTCAATTAAGTTGACATTTGGTGATGGCATTTAATATACATGTATTTTTACTCTTTTAGTCTAGATCAGATCCTAAAATAGGGAATTTTATATAGGAAACTCCCCAAATTATCTTACCATCTTGTTCTATATTTTTTGTTTCATTCGGCTGAAGAGGGGGAGTAGTTCTTGGTGCTCTTGATTTAGAAGAAGGGGAATTTTCTGTGGGTTCTTGAATACCAGTCTTTCTGAGCTGATAAAAGAATATAAATTACTTTTAAAATGCTATTGGATATGTAGTTAGAGAATTCTGGGTAAGGATATTAAAAGTACAGTTATGTATACATCGCCTTTCAGTTTAGAATGTTGCTGTTTTCTATGTTAAGAGCAATAAACTGGGCTGGAGATACAGCTGAATGGAAGCATGTCTTCTGAGCATGCGCAAAAGTCTGACCTCAGCTCCACAAGGGAGCAAAGAGGAATAAACAGTGCTTTCCAGAATATAGAGACATTCTGTTCTTTAGATATTTAATCAGGCATATTATTTAATGAATAACAAAATTAAGAGAATGAAGCAAACAAAACAAGAGAGACATCGATTAAAAGGAAAATAACCAGTAAGGCTATATGCTTTGCTTAAAATATTTGAATATATTCTCTTTCCAGCAGTGTGGATCATAATCTCTGCCAACTTTATTAACTTCTGTGTGCTTGAATATGATATTGCCATGGTCAGTTCAAATACTAAATGTCTACTATGTGTTGTACAGTATTTTGTATGAAGGATTTTATTAAATAAAGCAATGGAGGAAGAATCCCAGGTTCATAGATCTTCCAGTTTAATTCAGGGATAAGCAAGAAATACATACATATATATATATAAAAAAATTTTTTTTTAACTAAATGTAAAGATGCTGAGGAGAACATAATGTAGTGGCTCCAGGGGGAGACCTTCTGTTTTTGATTAAATGGCCTGAGGCAGCTTCGTTGAACATTTTCTATTTGATGAAAGTATCATCAAGTGCAGATACCTGACAAAAGAGCATTTCAGATAGATCACACGGACAGGTCTTGGGGGCAGAGCATGCCATGCTCTTGAGGAACAGCAAGAAAGCCAGTGAGATGAAGTCAGTAAGATGATGAAGGGCCAGGTTACCACAGGTTCTAAGAGTGGTGGTGAGTAAAATAGGAAGTGTTGTGGGGAGAACAGTCATGACCTGATTTAAAGTTTAATAGCATCACTTAAATGGAATCTGTTATGAATCTTTTTTTTCCTTGCAGTTGACGTGATAGGCTCTGCTGTTTTCTTTAGGACATGTGAGGAAACCACAAGACAGGTTGCCTAGACTGTTTTGCAAGCATATGATTAGCTGTGGAGTGCTGTCCTAACAGTTTGTGTTTCTATCAGTCAGTACAACAGATCCGACATTAGGCTGACTTACCTGACTTTCTATTTCTTTTATCTGACTGTGCTGTTGACTCAGTTGCTTATATTGCTCTTCCACAGTCTGGAGGAGGTCTTTGATGCTGTTATCTTGCTGTTCTACAAAACTCTGCACACAGATTGTAGTTGGTTTAAAATTTCCTTATTTATTTATTTGTAACAGTCATCTAATTTTAAACTAGTAATGGATTGGCTGTCATTGCCCAATATTTTTTCAAATAATATGTACTTTTGTTCTTATATTAAAAAATTGCCATATCAAAACTTTTTCAAGTTTTAAACTAAAAGAAGCAATGTTTCAAAGGAATTAGAATATACAATTTATTATATTAATCTGCTTTTGTGCATGGAAGAATAAATTTAAATTTATTTACCTCTAGTAATTGTCAGTAACATAATTTATAAATTTTATTCTTAAAACAGTACATCTTAGAACTGTATTTTAAAAACCCACATCACAAACAGAATGCTGTGATTTCTACTTACTTTAAGGGATGTCACTTCTGGGTGCTCCTGAGCCCCGGGTTTGCTTTGAATTAAGTTGCTCAGCTGCTCCTCCAGAGCACTGACTTTCTGCTGAAGTGCAGTTCTCTCTTCTAGTAGGCTGTCGAGTTTTGAGTTGAGTTGCAGTGACATGTTCTTCACCTCCTCGTTTCTGACTTGTAATTTGGATGTAGTTCTCCTTAGTTCCTTTTCCTCTTCTCTGATTTCGTTGGTTTGAAGTGATAGATCATAAAAAGATTGGTCAAATATGTTGAGTTTCTGAAATATGTCATTAATTTGGCCCTTAGTCTTATGGACAAAATCTTTAAGTCCATGTCCCAGCTGAAGGAGGCCATTGGCTAAAATTTTGACATCGTCTAACATAGCAAACCTTGATTTTGGCTCTGAAGACACAGAATCAAATGATGAATTGTCTGAATCAATTCTGGAAGAAATTACTAGAGGTACAATAAAAAGAAATATTTTAATTGTGTGCATTTTTGTGCCAATTATTCAATTACAAGCAATTTGGAACTACTTTCTCCTATAAGGAGACCTGAACCTCTTGACTTTATATACACGACTATTTGCACCATGCACACAGCTGGCAGATGAATGTAGTTAACAATTAAGCTGTGCTAACTCGCACAAATGTAACCCTCCCCCATGTTGAGTTAGGTCAATGTCAAATGAAATTAAGGAAATGAGCAACCTAACCGGAGGTGATTTTAAAAATTGTTAGTTAAATTTACCGTATTGAGATTTATGCTTTCAGAATGAAGGTATCTACCCTATTTTTTTTAAGTTCATTTTAACATATTTTTTACTGTAAGATTTACAAATGAACCTTAATTTTTGATGGATAAGTTTGCCATTAAAATTGAGGAAAATTAACTATATGTACCCTTCGTTCTAATTTGTTTATTCTAGTAGCAGCCACCCTTCCCCCAAAAGCCTATGTAAAGTTCTTTCCCAGTCCTTGTTGTGGTGCTATGGTTGTCATTGCTGTAGCTTGTGTTTCTGTATATGTCAACTTATAACTATGTGTTTTTATTCGTCACTATAGCTACTGGTTAATGTCTTTATTTCACATATGTCTTAACCATTCTTGTATGTTATCACAAAATTCCCAACATAGTGTCAGAAAAGACATTTTTCTCCCTTTCCATTGTTTTCTTGTCTCTATGTCATAGGCTCTATTCCATGTGGCAGAGCAGGATATGTGATTATCTGAACTAGAATTAAATCTTAATGCCACCAGTGGCAGAGCAGATTAGTCCATTTTCCTGAAGTTAGTGAGCTTAGTAACAGTTTTGTTACTGTAAATTTAACAAAACTAAAGATTAATAATGTATTTAAGAGTAAATGTTTTGGTGTGCCCAATTGATGTTAAAAGGAAATATAATAAGCACTTAAGTTATGGTTGGTTGTCCATTAACCACCATTATTATCCTTAGTATTAGTATAAAATATTTAGGAAAATTGACATGGTAAAATTACTAAGAATGTGAGTTCTGTAATCTCACATTGTGATCTGATTCTAAAAGTTAGCTCTAGTGTTTTGGCCTTAAACAAATGATTTAATTTCCCCATACATCAGTTTCCTCATTTATTGGGATAACTGTTCTTTGTGATTTGTTTTTGTTTTTGTTTTTGTTTTTTTTTTTAAGATAGTCCTGTTTTGTAGCCCAGGCTGACCTCAGATTTGTGATAATTTTCCCGTGGTAATTTTAGTGCTGGGATTATGGGCATTTGTCACCGTGCATCAGGATCATGTCTATAACTTAAAAATTAAAAAAAGTATGTGTATGGGTGTTTTGCATTTGTTCATGTCTGTGTACCACTGTAGAGGTGAGATGACATTGGATTCCCTAGAGCTGGAGTTACAGATGGTGTGAGCCACCATGTGTGTCCTGGGAGTCAAACCTAGGTCTCCTGGAAGAGCAGTCAATGCTCTTGTCTGCTGAATCATCTTTCCAACCTTCATGCTTATAGTTTTTGTTTTATTTGCAAGGAAAAAAAATCAGTATAAAGAATTATGGATTAAGTTCAATTCATAGAAATACCCATTCCTGCCATGAAATAGTTTTTTGCTTGAGTGAGTATCAAGGGGTTAAGTCTAATGGTTCCTTTAGAAATCCTGACTAACAGTGTTGTGAGCATGGTTCTGGGACACTGCTGCTTGAAGTGGAGTCTTGAATCTGCTGTTCCTCAGCTCCTCCTCCCTCAGGGTTCCTCTTTTGTTCAATAGAGAAAATACTTCACTTAGGGTTGTGGAAAGATTAAATTAGTTCAAATCACTGGAATCCTACTTGCTGTGTAGTAGGCACTACATATTGTGTATCAGCTATTCCTTGTAATTAGAAGTGATATGCTTACACTCACTGCATTTATTGGTGAAGACTGTTAAGATTACATAGACATGGAAATGTTGCTGATATTGTGGTCTTAAGAGGTTTGTTCTCTTGAATCTTGGTAAGTAGTTGTAATATATATATATATATACATATATATATATATATATATATATATATATATATATATATATACACACACACACATTTTTTCCCTTCTCTTTTTGGGAGGTGTATGGGTGGTTGTGGGCCTTGAACCTAGGGCCTTAGATACCACGTATAGTCTCTGAGCATACCCTCTGAGCAATTTCCTCAGCCCACCCTTTGTGTAACTTAAGTATGCATTACACAGTTTTAGAAATACTTTTGGCAGAAATAAATAACACAAACACTTGCATACACTTCCACTAATAAATATGAAAACTAATCAGTATCATGTCCTGTGCACTGATGTATGTCAGTGAATTATTAAAAGTGTATGTTGAGCTAGATTGAGCAGTCACATTTTCTCCTTTCATGGGAAAAGGTAGTGATCCTTGGCCATGCAGGGCATATTTCGAAACTTTTCTTGACTAAGCTGTCAACCTTTGTGGTTCAAAACGGTTGACCCCAGAATTCCATGCACTCAGTGGAAGTGCATGGTGAGCCAATCTCTTTACTTTGTTACACTAGAAACTGGGGGTTTTTGTATTTTTTTTTTTGTTAGAGGATTATTAATAGATATCCTACCATCTCTGTACAATGCCTCATGCCTTATAGAAACAATAAACATGGGATGGGTAAAAGAGTTTTACATATAACAAAGCATAAAATTTACATGTAGCAGATGCAAACTGCTTTGCTAAAGCAGCTTCCTTGTAAAGAAGGAACTGTGAAGAAGATCCCTCTTTTAAAAGAAATTATTTTTATTTTATGTGTGGGAGTGGTGTGTTTGCATGTGTGTCTGTGCAGATGGACACCATCCCCCATGATTGAGTTAGAGACTGTTATCAGCTGCCATGTGGTAGGTAGCTGGGAATCAATCTTCTCAGGGCCTCTGGAAGAGCAGCCAGTGCTCTCTTTCACTGAGCCATCTCTCCAGTTTCCCAAAGTGGGCCCTTTAAACAGAACTCCGCTCAGATATATGCAAAAGCAAAAACTTAAGCCAAAGGAAACAAAACACTGTTAAGCAAACTCAATACTTGATTTTAGAATCTATTTCTATGAGTTACTATACAAAATTTCCTAGCTACACAGAATTCTAGGACACTCAGCAGCCTTAGCATGCTTAATTTCCATGAATCACAGAGACCACTTGCTTTTCCCAGGTTTTGCAAGCTGATGGTAACATGACTTTCAAGTTTAAAACAAGATATTTTGTCTCTTAAAAACAAAAACAAAACCTCATTTACTTACTTATTTGTGTGTGTGTGTGTGTGTGTGTGTGTGTGTGTGTGTGTGTGTGTGTATGCACGTGCACCATGTATATGCAGTGATCAGAAGAGGGCATTGGATGCCCTGGGTCTTGGAATGTTTACCTTGCAGATATATGGAAGGCTAATGTGTTCATTAGAAATGCTTAAAAATATGTTTGAGAAAAAATATATAAATGTGAATTGAAGAAGAGAACAATGTTAGAATAATATATTATCCCCCCTTTCTCTGATCAGAACATCAATTACATATATTTAATCGATGTATAAGGTTGGAGGTTAGGGACAGAGCTTATTTGGCAGTGCTTGCCTAACATGCATGATGCTCTGGTCTTTATTCCCAGCATAGCATAAACCAGGTGTGCTGGTGCACTCCCTTAAAGTAGCACTAGGGAGGTAGATGCTGGGGTATTAGGAGCTCACAATCATCTGTGTTTATTTATGTAAAATTTTCTGGACTAGACTGGATACACAGCACTGTGTTTTTAAAGAAATAATAAGAGATCTACATAAGTAGATCCTCCCTGAGAATTGTGCGAGTTGAAAATGAATCTAATACATTTATCCTCCAGAACCATCACAGCACAACACCACTGTATCACTACCACTGCTTAGCACCAGGAGAATGTCATACATAATATTGCTAGCCCAAGAAGCTGAATAATAGCAAATGAAGCTGTCATATTGTGATCCAGTGTTTGAGTGAGCTTAAAAGGAATTTTATAGTTTTTCATGTTCTCTGTGCTTTTAGTATTGAATTCAGTGCCTCATAGATTCTAGGTCAGTGGTCTACTCCTGAGCCCAAACCGTGTGTGTGTGTGTGTGTGTGTGTGTGTGTGTGTGTGTGTGTGTGTGTCTGTCTGTCTGTCTGTCTGTCTGTCTGTCTGTCTGTCTGTCTGTCTGTCTGTCTGTCTGTCTGTCTGTGTTTCCCTGCACTCAAGAACTTTTGCTGCATGGTTTGTTGTGTTTTTCTTTGCAGACTCAGGTATTTTAGAACATATAAAAATGAAAATTTTGACTCTTTTCTATTAATACGTTATTATCTACTATACCAGATTTCTTGGAATGACTATTATCTCAGAACATCTAGTTCATGTCACATATACCTATAATACCCAAGATCTTATTCTTCCAGAATATATTTACATAGAATTTTAGATTTACCATGATAGGTTATCTGTAGCTTTTGTTTTCTTATCTATTGAGATAGTCTATTGTCTCCTTATATGTTCCAGACTCATCTTGAATTCCCAATCATCCTCAAGTGTTAGGATTACAAGTGCAAAATCTCCATGTCTTTTTTAAGGACTCAAATATTCTAATTATGTCACCTCCTATTTGTAGATGCATCTTAGTTTAATCATGCCTGTTAGTGATCAATAAGTATTTTCAATTTTATAAACAATATAATAGAAAATATTTTCTGTATCTATGTGTAAGCACATTAAGTTATATTTGTGAGATTCTTTTTCACATTGTACCAGTTTACATTTATGTCAGTACAAGAAAGTATCTCTTTCGCTGTATATATTAAAGTATAGAAGACAGTATTGGTAAATCTAATAGGCATATGTGTATCTGTGCTACTGTCTTTGAGAATTATCTGGACATGTGCCTCTTACAGTTTGTTTCTTTCTGGTTGAATTTAGGGATATTCTCATTTATATAATAAATAGTATTTCTTCAGTTTGCCTTTTTTTTTTCCCTCCACCTAGGTTCATGGTTCTGTTTTCTGTGAGAAATTTTAAAAATGTATGTCTTTTATGATTTTTCTAATTTATGTTAAGAAATGCCTTCTCTTAGTTGTCTTTTCAAAGCTTCTCTTAT